CTTTGTAATGTCTAAATTTACCCGCTGCTTGTCTACTGGTTCTGTGCTTCAGAGACAAATGCTTCCTATGCTTGTTCAAAAAAAAGTACAAAAGCATTCAAAAAACATTGTTCCCTCTTCTGTAGTCCTAGGTACAGAGGGAAGTATTGTCTGGGAGAGCGACGCAGGTACAAGATCTGTAACACCACACCTTGTCTTCATCACCTGCCCACGTTCAGGGACATCCAGTGTAGTCACTTCAACAGTCAGCCATACAAGGGCAAGTTCTACAAGTGGGAGGCAGTCATCAACACGGGTGAGCAGATTAAATTTGAGTCAGCTGCTGTTTTTTAAATTTCCATTTTCACGCCAACACTTTGTTACTGTTTCTCTCTGTGAAAACAGTGAACCCCTGTGAGCTGCACTGCCGTCCACTGAATGAAAACTTTTCTGAGAAGATGCGCGATGCTGTCATTGATGGGACACCTTGTTATGAAGGCAACAAAAAGCGAGATATATGCATCAACAGCATTTGTAAGGTATCAAAGCAATACAAGGCATTCTATATATACTGTCCTCAGGTTTGAAGGTGTTTCTTCTGTTGACCGAAAAAACTTTGTATTGATTGATGGGGATCTTTTTTCTTCTGTTGCGTTTGTGGTCTGTCGTTCATGCAGTAAACTGAGTTGGCGCTTGTCTTGTTTTCTCTGCTGGCGAATTTTGTACATTTGACATTCTGGGTCACAATAAGCATGCTGATTAAAAAAAATAGAAAAAGAAAGAAGGAATGGCAGGGGAAACAAATCTGGAGGCTGTTATCTTAAGATAGCAGCCTCTACTTGCCTATCGCCCTGGGCTAAAATGCCAGTCATTAAAACAGACACTATTTGGGTACCGAGTGGACAGCAGTCTCTGACTCTGGGTATCTGACTTCATGACATTTTGTGACATTTTTGTCACGCAACAACACCCTCTTTGTCTCAAAAAATCTAATTCTCCGTAACATAAAAAGCAAGTTTTATTCACATGTGTAATCTAGAAACACCCAGGGAAGCATGTTCCCATCCTAAGTTTGGTAAAATAAATAAATACAAAATAAGTACATACCTTTATTCAAGTACTGTATATAAATGCATCTTTGAGGTACTCAGTTTTCTGTTGCTTTCAACTCTCTCGGTAGAATTTTTTGCTATTAATGTCTATTTATTTGCTATTTCTCCTAGCTTTAACTTTAGAATAGAACAGAATTGAAGACCCTTCTGCCATTGCATGTACATAATTAAGAAATATATTGAAATGCACAATTAAAATTCGTTTATTGATTTGGCAACTAAATCCATGAGCTAGGTAGCAAGATACATATATGATTAAAATATATTATATAGATGCAATTCTGCATAATGCATGCTTAAAAATAGGCATGTTTTTGTGCTATTGTGTTTGCTCTTTTACCAAAGTCAAACTTTGTTTACATGGACTAAGTAAGAGAACCACCTGAGGCAGCTCAACTGCTGCCTTTTGTTTATCTGGATTACTGTTGTGCCTTCATTTGCACCATGCAATAGTACAGTATCTAGAAAACCAACCTAAAAAGTAAATAAATAAATAGTAAACTATAATATTAGGGTTTACTTTGAGCTTCATTTGCATCATCTGCCCTCTCCAAACAAGTCAAAGGTACATGAGACAGCCTCTGCTGTTTTTCTGGCTTTTAGAAAGCGATGTACACAGGAACTACCACAGTTCAAAGGGTCACCAAGTCACATTTGCTACATAATGTCCGTTATCGTGATACTGATCATTTTTGTGGCATGTTTCTAACAGAATATAGGCTGTGATTACGCGATAGATTCCACTGCTGTAGAGGATCGCTGTGGAGTGTGCAATGGTAACGGCTCCACCTGTACAACTGTGAGGAAAGCATTTGAAGAGAGTGAAGGACTGGGTATGTTGTTTTCTTTTCTGT